GAAGTTCCAAGAATACACGTTTATGTTCTTATGATAAGAGATACCACCTTAACCCAAAAGATATGTTACTTCTTCTTCTTCTCACAAAAATGAAAAGTAACTTTGATTCTTTGGAACTTTTCAATTGTTTAAAAATCGATTTAATTTCACACAGTCATCATTCACTTGATTCTATTGAAGAAAAATGTAGAAGAAAAAGCAAATATTTCCAAGTGGCTTGATTGTGCACTTTTATTATTTGCCAAAACTTCTTGCAAAATTTTTATTGATTCAATAAAAAATTGTGCTGGTACAACTATCAACTTCGCGTTTGGGAGAAATTCAGGTTATACTACTTACATCCCCGAATTAAATAATATTTATTATGCAGTTGATGGAAGAGATCAGCCTGTAAATCATCCTCAGAATGAAATAAGTTTGAGAACTCATTCGGTCGACAAAAGATTCTTTTCCTACAAGAGTAATCACTCTGGTTTGAAAACGGAGTTGGTTGTTAACTATTTTGGAATGGCAGTCAGTCTGATAACACAGATTCCATGCGCGATGAACGACGCAAGTGTATTCAAAATTTACTTTATGGAAACATGTGTTAAAGCTGGGCAATTACTTTTGGCAGATGGAGGATATTCTTCGTGTGACTGTTGTGTCATTCCACGAAGAGAAAATCCCAACATACAATACACAACAGAACAAAAACAATATTTGGATGAATATAACAATGTTCACTCTTCTTGTAGAATAATAGTTGAAAATGTATTTGGAAGACTGGTGAGCACTTTTAAAATGATGAAATGCCAATGGACAATGAATCTTTCTTATTATGAATACTACACTATCTTTGCTCATGCCATTCTTAATTATAAAATATCCAAACATCCACTTCGCAACATTCATTTTTACTTGTTTCATAGAGCACTTGTTACTTCACCAGAAAATATGGATCTTTTCACAATTCCTCTCCCTCCTTCAATTAGAGCCAGAATACATGACTTTCTTGAAGATAATGACATTACCGCAATAGCAGATGGTGATGAAGAGTTTGATGAAAGACATTCTAATTAAATACATTTTTATTTGGTTAGACCACAGGAAAACATAAACTTAATAATTACAATTGTTGTAAATAAATAATATAATTAAAAATGTTATATTAATTAGTTATTCATATCAAAATTTAATTATAGTTTTTGTTTAATTTGGTTTTTTTAATAAGTTTTGTAGTTATTTATAAAGTCATTTTTATTTATATAATGAACCTTTGATTCTAGTAATAAAAAATAATTATATAATATTCTAAAACATAGTTACGTTAGTCATCTATAGTTCAGTTAGCTATTTTATGGTGGGTTAATTAACTGGGTATATAGTTAACTAACTATAAGGTATTTAAGTTATTTCTCAAGTGTATTTTTTTCAAATTAACCAATTCAATTGTGTATAAAAGAAGAAAATTAAACACTGATATTATTCTTTATAATGTTTGGTGGAGATAACTTCAAATCAATTTGATGTAAAAGGATAATAAGTTGAATATACAAATAAAAATATAGTAAATAAAATATTTATAGAATTAAAAATAGTATATTATGACAAAATTAATTAGATTAATACAAGACAATGTCTAAAATAGATCTACCTCAAAAATTAGAAACAATTAAAACATAAGAAAAACTGGTTATATATCAGTTCAGCACATCCCAGACTTGTTGAACTTTATTTTTTTGTAAAAAGTAAGGTCTTTATATTCATGAAAATGTTCTATATATTGATGAGTATTGGAGTTCTCGCTTTAGAAGACCTTCCAATCAACAAAGGTTATCGTGATCTTTCAAATTTTCGAACAGAAGCTTTTAACCGAGCTCGAATGAGAGAGGCAGGAGTACTTGCTCCAACAGAAGATGCACTTTTGACAGAAATGAGTGATATCAAAAATCAATTTTCCGATTTTGTTCTTCGATTGAAGACTTTAAAGTCGACAATGAGAAGAAAGATCACAGTATTTTCTCGAAATGAAGGCAATCTTGTTGGACAATTCAGGTATATATTTGAGGCTATTTCATCAAAATTTTTATGGGTTTTTGTTGGGACAAATACTCAACAAAAAGCTATCAGTTTTTTCCAATCATTTTATAATGTTTTTGGATTTAATGATTTATCACAAATTATCAGACAGTTATGGCCTTTATTACCACGAATGATTCGAAACATTCGTAGCAGTGTTTTTATGTCTGCTAATGACAAACGGAGATGTGAAGAAATAATTATTTCAATGACTGAATTTATTGAGGATATTTCGGCTGGTTTGAGGTTTTTACAGTCGCATCCTTTAGTCGAAAATATGAGAGTAGCACAAATTGTTTGTAGAAAAATGGACGAATACAAAGACCTTGTGAGAACTTTTCCAAGGGTTTAAAATAAACAAGTGTATAATTGTTGAAATGGTGGTGTGTCTTATTTATATTATCGTTGAAATATCGAAGTTGTAATAATTCTTTTTATTGTAATAATTAATTCAATGTTTGATACAAAATTGAATGAAATGAGCAAAACAATTGAGTAAATTAATATGAGTTAAATAACATGATTATTAAAAATAGCAATACTTTTAATACCATGAAAAAGGTGAACTAAAAACCATCCTAATTTTTGACTTTTCAAACTATCATAAACTAAAGGTAATGTGTTAGTAATATATATTTTACAAAGAGTTTTGTAACATATACATTTCTTTAAAACTGTAATTATTATACAAAATATTGAGATGTTATATCTACTTATGTTATTTGTTTATTTAACATATTCGGGAGATGACCTTCACTTGGAAGAAGTATGCAACCATTAGCAAATTACAGAACACCAGAATATCATGAGGCTCGATTAAGAGAGTCTGGTGAACTTGTTCAAACCGAACAAGCTTTATTGAAAGAACTTGGGAGAATGCGAACATATTTTCTTACATTACAAGTATCTTTAAAATATTTACGATCAAAAATGAGACTCTTTTTTACTGTCTTTTCAAGAAGAGAACGGACTCTTATGAATCAATTCAAAACAATTCTAATTAATTCTTTTGCAAAAATTATTGAATTTGGTTTAATGGATATGAATACCTTACAAAAATCAGAGAGTCTCTGTCAGAAACTTTTCGATATTATGAATCAAAAAGAAGTTGTTTCTTTAATCAAAGAGTTGTTTTCTTTGATCAACATAATGCTTCTAAAAATAGAAAGAAGCCGCTTAATGACTTCAACAACAAAAAGAAGATGTATAGAAACAATTAACACAATACATCTCTTTTTTGAAACAATTGCTTTTGAATTACAATTAATGAAAAGCAGTTACATTCTTGAACATTCTCAAATTGTTTTTGAAACACAAGGAAAGGCAGAGCAGCTCAAACTATTGGCAAGATCATTAGAAGCATTACATTAATTATGTGTATATGTGTTATATAAAAATACAATTTAATAGTATTTATATTATATATTTATTAAATAAAAAAAATGGGTTTAATTAATTATTTAATTAACAATAAACTATACTTAAAAAACCCCATAATAGTTAATTTATTATTTTTACAATAATACCAAGTTATTCAAAAGTTCTGAATGTAAGAATCAAATTCAGAAATGTTGTTATCAATTATTTCACAAATATTCTTTAGATTAAATACAAACTCTACGAGACCAAAGATCATACTGAACATCTAACCGAGTTTGCAATAAATTTATATTTTTGTCTCTACATAACAACTTACTTAATTCAATCAATTATTCTTCTCGTTCTTCTAAGTTTTCAATAGCATGTTGTGGTATATTCAATAATTTATTGTCAAGTCCACAACGATAAAAACAGGCGTGTCCAAACTTTTTGATTGTTTTTGGAAATTTCAATGTTTTCAAATGTGTGCAATTTGAAAAAGACCCCCTTTCTATTGTTTTCACTGTTTGTGGAATTACAACACGAAAAAGCTTCTCACAATAAGCAAAAGCAAACGCTTCAATTTCCTCAATAATATCAGAGTAAAATACAACGGAATTAATTGAATTGCAACAACGGAAAGTATTGGATCTAATTACTCTGATTTTTTGTGGTATTTCGATTTTTTTCAACGAATAACAGTTTTCAAAACAACCAGCTCCTAAAATTGACAAATTTTTGCTCAATTTGATATGTTTGAGTGATGAGCAAAAACTGAAACAGCCTTCTCCAATTGAAGAAACGTCATTTGGTATATGAATTCGAGTAAGTGACCCACACCCTTCGAAACATTCGACTCCGATACTCATAACAGACTTTGGTAGTGTAATTCTCTTTAAATTTGAGCATTTGGAGAATACTTTGTCTTCTAAAAAGAAAAGTCTTTTTGACAGTATTACTTCTTTTAAATTGTTGCAACCTGAAAAACACCCATTTCCAATATAAGTGACTTCATTTGGAAGTATCACAGATTTAAGAGATGAACAACCTTTAAAACAAAAATTTCCAATAAAACACAAGCTTTTTGGAATGTCTAATGTTGATAGAGAAAAACAATCTTCAAAACACGCAGTTTCAAATGAAGTCACACTCTCTGGAACAGACACGTGTTGTAATTGTGAGCATCCCAGAAAACACTTCTCACCAATTGTCGAAACGTTTTTACCAATTGACAAAGAAGTCAAGTTAATACAATTTTCAAAACAGCATTCATCAAGATACAAAACACTTTCTGGTACTTTGAAATCTATCAAATTTTGTCTTTCTTTGAAACATGCGTACATGAGATTTCTTGTGTTTTGTGGAAATGATGTTCCAAATAAATTGGCATCTTCAGATGTAAATGAAATATTCTTATACACAATGTTAAGACTGGAATTTAAAGCCGTTTGTGCATCAACTTGATACCAAATAACAACTCTAAAAAACTTTTCAATGTCAAACTTTTCATCTAAATCACTGTACAAATGAAGAGTCTCGAGCTTTGGGAAATACAGTCTAGTCTCTGTAGTGAGTGGAATCGGATTATAATAAAACCTTGTGATGAGATTAGAGTACTTTTTACATACCTTTTGTACATCAATATAATCTTTTATTGTTGCAAAATACTTGGAAACAATCATCATAGAATGACAGTCGAGCTGAGATGGTGACATGATACAAAGTTTAGTGCAGAGAACAGTTTTAGGTCTTAGTCAGCTTCTCTTCAAAACAATTTGGGTTTATGAAAGTAAAAATAGATTTGTTTTCGATTAAAAAGCACCCTTTTGGTTATAATCAAAAATAGTAATAATTGTCAGCTTTTATTTAATACTTTTATTTGGGTTTTATACCATTGATATATGATTGTTATAATTATATAAAAAATTATTCAAACATCAAAATAATAAAACTAAAAATAACAATATTTTTTATAATATTGAATTGGTTTTTTATACAAATGAAAAATAAATTAATATCAATATTTATTAATAATAATTCACAGTATTCTATTTATATTTTAGTAATTATAAAAATAGTAGATCCAACCAAAAAATTAATCATAGCAACAAATAATATATTTTTATAATATTTTGTAATTCAATGAATTAAAAAAATTTAAAAATAATTTTAAACAATTTATAAATAATTTAGAAAATAATAATATTTTATTATGAATTAATTAACTAGTATTTATAATATAATTTTTTTATTTTTTCTTTGAAGTTTGGAAGTATTTATATAAAAAAACAAAACTAATCATTAAATATAATTTAGTAATTATGAATGAATGTTTTTAAAATGTGCTATTGCGTAATGTCTGTTATATCAAATAATTTATAATTGAATTGTTATTAATAATATATTTTATTATCTTTTTATATTAATTGGAATACATCCTATTTTTTAATTCGTTAAACTAAAATGATTTAATTATAAATATATTATAAGATAATGATTGTGCAAATAAATTTTGAAAAATACTAATATAGTAAAATAGATTTAAATTAATTTAAATATTTATTTAATTAAAGAGAAAGGACGGACATGGGGACGAAGGACGGGAATATAGGCCGAAGGACGTCCTTTGTGGTTTAGGGATGTCCTCCCGCTATAAAGGGCGTCCTTTATGTGTATATGGTGTCCTTTCTATTATTTTCGTGTCCGCGGCATTTTTAATAACTATATAATGAGTTATAATATTACTATGAATTTACTATTATAAAATATAATTATTTCCAAAAATAAATAAATTCAAAGACAAATGTTAAACAACAAGTAATTTCGTTATAAATTAATGGTTTTTATAAAATATGCAAATTTAATTAGTTTTTCAAAGAAAACTCAATGGTAAAATGAAAAAAAAATGATAAATTATTATAAACCATTAATATATAACAAAATTACTTTTTAAATAGTTTTTGTCTTTGAATTAATTTATTTTTGGAATTAATTATATTTTTTGATTGTATATTTATAATAAAAATATACTTTGTTATATAGTTTCGATAATGAATAAAAAATGCCGCGGACACGAAAATAATAGAAAGGACACCATATACACATAAAGGACGCCCTTTATAGCGGGAGGACATCCCTAAACCACAAAGGACGTCCTTCGGCCTATATTCCCGTCCTTCGTCCCCATGTCCATCCTTTCTCTTAACACTTTCACAACCCAAAACTTTTTTTAAAAAGAAAAATAAGTAAAAAAGAAATTGTCCAAATCATTTTTTTATTATTTTTATTCCAAAACCCCTTTCTAACCCAAACCGGCCAATAGTCAGTTTTATTTTATTTAAAATAATTAACAAATGAAAACCCAATCAACCAAGATTGACCAAAAATAATCTTTTTGGACGAAATTTCATATCGCTTTATTGTGTTTCAACAATTAATATAAAAACGCTACATCGTCAATCCACTTAATGACAAACAATGTCAAATAGTCGCATTAACAAATATAACGACAATATAAACACCAATATCGTTATAATCAAATGACAATATACTCTTTATAAAAAACAACCAAAAATATCAAACCATCATTAGACCCCATTTTTCTTTCAAATGCTTTGCTCTTGTTTAACACAAATAAACTCATTCGTGTTAATTTGTGTGACTATAAAATATACAATTCAAATTTGAGTTGATACAAAAAAAAATAAAAATTTTCAAAAATTTGTTTTGTGTATGAAGGCAAAAAAAGGGTTTAGGTAAAAGAAAAAAATAAAAACTATTTATTATTACGTTTCTGTTTTGAACGTGTTAAACCTTTTAAAAAATCCCAAGTTTAAAAATTGACTTGTTTATATCATAAAATATGACAATTATATAAAATTTTTACTATTTTGGCTTGTGTAATGTTATGCACATTTTAAACTTTTAAAAAAACGGGAAAATTGTTTAAAAAACTCAAGATTACCCGATTATTATACAAATAAAATTTTCTTCAATGTTATTCAAAGTGTTAAATTTATACAATTAATACATAATTTTTTAAAAATTACCCCATCTTAATCTATTTATATAATTAATTTAATTTTTAGTTTAAAATAGTTATTAAGTAATATTATAAAAATTATATTTTTTTAACAATAATAATTACAATTTTTATTATATAAAAAAAGACAAATTCCACCTTTTTAAGACAAAAAACCTTTGTTTTTGCAATATTTCTTCTTAATTTTTTTTGCCAATTTTTCAACTGTGTTTCGTGTCATTTAATTGAAAAACACAGTTGATGTTGAGATACCATTATTTGGTTTTGCTTTGAAAAAAATGTTTCAATAATAATAAATACTATTTTACTAATAATCAATGTTTATTCATTTGATAATAATGCAATATAAATTGTTCAGTACCATTTGAACATTTTTAAATAATAAAATTTCCACCAAATGACATAAAAAGCATAAAACGAAATGTGGTTGATTTTCGACGTTTTATTGTTATTTTTGTAAATATCTGTGTATTTTTGCACTTTTCGTGGAAGTATTCGATGAAATATTTTTCGTTTTTTTTAAATATCTTAAAAACAATTACAAAAAAATTCGGCATTTTAACGATTCGATACCGCAACTTAAACTTATAAAAAAATAAAAATATAACCATACCACTATTTTTGCAAAATACAATCCATTTTCTTAATTATCTTGATCAAAAAAAAACAAAAAGATATTTATTTTTTTCGTTTGTCTCAAAAATTTATTCAATTTTTTTTCAAAAAAATCACTAAAATAACTATCAAATATTTATTTAATAGTTATTATTATTTGTTTTAAATGAAACTAAAAAATAAAAACCAAAAATATAACACTTTTGGGAAGTTGTTTTTTATTTAAAATATTTTGTTATATTTTTTTATTTTAAAGTACAAGTAAATATAAACTATAATATATAATATATTTATAACATAAGGAGTTAAACTTGACATGAATAAAAATTTCCAAAAACATTTTTACCATCAAAACAATTATTACCTCCCGAAAAAGCCTTCAAAAAGACTCAAAATAACAACACCAACGGAATTTGAAGAAAAACCAACAGCTTCAGAAAACAAAAAGTGGAGTTTCTGTTTATAAATTTAAAAGTCGAAAAAAATATTAAATAATTCAAACATTTCATGCTTCTCTTGTTCTTCTTTACGTTTTCCTTCTCTCAAAAGTGCTCATCTGGGTGCATTGGAGGGTGTTTGAGTGACTACACTTGTTTAGGTCAATGTAAGAATACATATGAGAATGATACGTCCTGTTTACTATGTAAAGATATATACCATACTGCTGCTGCAGTTTCTTCTGTGTATTTACCACACAACAACAGTTGTGAACAGAAGACTCAAATTATCAACAAAAAGAAGTGGTTACCACCTCAAAGTTATATGACAGAGATCTACGTTGACATTCCGACTGTTTTCAAAATAGATGAAAACAGTGACATTGATTATTCCTTCTGTTATTACAATCCAAAGTATCGAATAGGGAAGTGGATCAAATTGAACATGACTTTAGTCAAAGCTCCATTTATTGCATTTAACTTCTCGAAAACAGCACCTGTTGATGTCACTGTCGACTTGACTTTGAACCAAGAAGAATTTAGTGTTGGGGCGTGTACTGCTCATTTCCTGATGTCCAAAAATGTGACACAAAGGTTCTTTAAAGGACCAAATGTGCCACCAACGAACCCCATAACAGGTGAAAGGTATACGGAATTTATGTATTATCTTTTTATAAGTACAAATGAAATAGCTGATTTTGAGTTTAGTGTTCACGTTGTTGAGTCGGTTGATAAGATCTGGGACGTCTCCTTTGATATCCCACCAACAGAAATCGACGAAATTGCGCGCAGTGGAGAAAAACGAGACGTTTATATTGAATTTGAGACGTACGGGACATTCCATTTTCCATCGTGTATGCCTTCCATGTTATTTAAAATGGCTATTTTTACTATAGAATTTAGTGGGAACTATTCTGTGAGACTTTCGACGAAAAAATTGAATAAAATGAATTATTTGCAGGAGTTTGCAGTGGAACAAGATATTGACAATCATGTTACCACGTCATGTGTTAATGTATGGAATGGGGCGTTACATGGTAACCAAGATCAAATAAGTAATGTTGGAGTGGAGATCAAACTTTCTTCGACTTTGAAAAACACGAACAAATTAGAGTTCAATTACAGTGACCCACAAAATTCAAATTTTGTCAAGAAGAGTTTAATAAGTTCTAAATATAGTGATATTAAAATGGTAAAAGTTAATAATAAATATGTTACCAAAAGTGCTCAAGAAGTGATTTTAAAGAATGAAGGCGTCGATGGACCTTCAAAGAAAAGGTATTTTGCTATCATGTCACAAGACTATTTCAATGCAATTACACTCGAATATGAAGTCATCTGTAAAAATGATTGTAATATGTATAAGAGACAAGGATTTTGTTTAACTTCATATTCTAAATGTCAGTGTGTAGATGGATATGGTGGTGATGACTGTCACTTAAAGTGTTATCACAATAACAAATGGCAAGTGACTGATACGACAAATTTGTGTTATTTTGGAACGACAAATTGTGATCAATATTGTGCCTGTGCTACTGGAACCACATTAGTCGGGCACATTTGTATATCAAACGAGTGTCGTAGTGGTAAAATTGGAAGTGGAGAACAATGCAAGCAAACTACAGAGGGGTGCAATGAAAATTGTTATTGTGATACAAACTCCTATGTGTTTAAAAACAATACCTGTGTACCCAAGACATGTGGAAATAATAAAATCGATAAAATCTATTTAAACAATCAATTCATACGAGAAGAGGAGGTTTGTTGTTTAATATGTATATAATATTAATATAGTTTAATTATAATAATATTTATATAATTTGATTATAGTATTTATAACTAGTGT